ATTCTTATCAGAATTGTAGAAAATGTTTTGTCTAGGGTTAGCGATTGATGGATGCTGACTTTTTCTTGAGAAGAAAATCAATTTCTATTTCGTTCTTCCTTAATATACAGAAAGTATGTTGGAATTTCCAATCGAACTTTTCTTCCTTTTCGTTGTTGTTGCATGATAATATTATTTATAAAGTTGTCGTCATGATTTATGTTTCTGTATCACAAGTTTTACGATGATACCATTTTACGATCAGTTGGAAAAAACCAACTGTTTAAAAATAAAATAAAATTCTAAGTATCAACTTGATACATTTTATATTATCAAACTGGTTAACACAAAAATAATAACGATTGAATTTCGTTCCTATACAGGTAAATAACTTTAGTTATCCGCAAATATAGTAAAATAATAACTGTTGCATCATTCCTCTGAGAACACAAGCTGAGTCTTTCAAGTGATCGAAACTGCTATTAGTTACATAATATGCCCCGGTATTAATCAGTTCCACGATGATATAAACATGATCGCAAAAGTTAGGCATTTGTGAGACGACCGTGCAAGGATCGTGCGCTGGATTTGCAGCCCCAAACCATCTAGGTTTGCATTGAGACGGTCACCCGCTACCTTTAAGGATATCTCTTTTTCAGAAAGTTTCAAGTTTTTTTTATTAAGATATTTTTAAAATTTTATATAAAGGGTTTTTAATTTGATATTTTTTAATTCTGTTTTGAAAGAACTCATCAAGTATGTATCTTTAATCGATTATAAACGGTCAAACTTGCTTTCCACCACAGTTTTTCGGTTCATATGTTTCTGCATGACATTGACCGGGATAACTATCAGAAAGTAGCAAACATTTTGCATCAACTAGTGGCAAAAAACAATGATCTCGCCAGTAGTCAACGAGAGATGTGGTCACTTTTCCCGATGAAGAACAAGTGATGACAACATTTTTTGGCAACAAATTACGATAAGTTGATGCAATACTATAGTAAAATGTATAAGAGGAATGATTATGGGTTTTTTCATGTAATGTTGATCGAGTATTTATCTTAAAGTTTTGTCGGGAAAAATACTTGTGATAAAATAAGCAGGTAAGACGATTTATGATATATTTATTCTCTCAATATCCCTACAAGTATTTACCGGAGATAAAAGAACGCCCCAATATTTATCGAAAAGTAGAAAGTAAAGGAAGTACGTTTTTTACCTTTAAGCAATAAAAAAAGTTTCATTTCTTCACTTTAACGATTATTAACTCAGATTTTTGTGAATGATGCGGTCACATTTACTCTATAACCTTACAACTTTATTTCTACTTGAAATAACAAAGAAAGTGCATGTGAGTAAGAACTGAAAACACATCTGCGTCTACAAAATCACTTCTCTGGTCGAAGTGCTTAGGTGCAAGAAAGCAAGATTCCTAAATTTTCCTACTTTCCCTGCAAGAAGCACTAGATTCGAATCCCATCAAAGATCCTGTCTGTTATATATATATAAGAACTTTGATTCAGCGAGAGAACGTGTGCTTAGCATGTGAAAGGTATCAGGTTCAAACCCGAAAGAGCTCTTATTTCTTTTCCTACCATCTCTTGCAGTGATTCTTTTATCCCTTCACGGAATTTTGTTGTAAAAATAAATGCAAGAAATGCATTTCTTGTTACTTCTTGCTGACTAAATCTCTCTGCAAAAAGTTTCTTGCAGGCAGATAAAATCAAAAATTTTCTGCCATTTCTTGCAAGAGTAAAAGTATTTCTTCGAGAGAAATTTTTACATCAAAAAAACACAAGAAAGCTTGCTTAAAATTGTGTAGTTTGTCCTGGGCAACAAAACAGGATTTAGGGACAATCCTGACCCAAGATCCTGCGTATTTCTTGCCGTCAAGAAAGTCGACTAGGGTTAATTAAACTTTCAATAATAAATTATTTTTTCTTCATTCTTTTTACCATTTAGTAGTATTAACATTTCCTTTTTATTCGATGTTACCTGATGAAAAACACGAACGATGTATTCTAACTGACTAACTAAACAAGTGACCAAACGCACAGCTATATATGTATAGAAAACAGGAAAGGTCTGGAACAGCTAGAAAGAGATAATGAGAAACGAAGAAAAGCGTGAATAAGAAAAAGAGATAGACTGGACAACATAAAAGCGACAGGAAAAGAAAACCAAAAGAAAAGCAAAGAAGACTCTGAAGGGCACGTGCCTGTAACAAGTAGTGCAAAATGAGGTGTTATACCTGGAACACTTCATTTTTTTGTAGTAACGTATAAAGGTAACTGAATTATAAATCCCTGTTCTTTTCTTCTTCTCTTCTTATCAGTTACACTTTGTGTGCGGTAAAATACAGGCACACAAAAACTGTTATAGAGTTAAGTGGCGTGATTCGGTAAGACTTTTGACTACTCCGTACTAATTCATCAACATTTGGATGGATTTTGAAGATTTTTGTGCGCTACTTTGCAGATGAGTAGATTCTACCTACTGTATTAAGATCTCCTGGAAAACTGCTCAGTTGAGCTATCTGTAGAAGGTTTACTGATTCGCCCCATGCCTATTCCTAATTCGTCCCAATGGGACGATTCGGTAAAATACTATGGGGTCGGTGGGGCAGATGATGAATTCCATGCATTTTCTCGATCAGGTTAAAAATGCAGTTATCCTTTTGATATTTATTGATTTTTAGTTACTTTGTGGTACCATTCGATTTGTCTCGTCATAACAAACACAGTGTATCAAATCTTAAAAAAGAATAATTAGAAACACCTGAGAATCAGTTAGAACAAGAGCGAAGTATAATAATAGCAAAATCCCGACTGGACCCACGTGAGGCGAGTCGAAAATTACGAAGACATCGGTGGGGCGATTCGGTAATCTTTACTAAAATCAACAACAATTCTCCAGAAAACTAAAACCTAACAATTTCTGGTCAGCAGTGATACAAATAAAAAAAAGTTTTTACCAATGAATACAGACAAGTCTCAGTTATTCAGTTCAGATAATCATCACATACGGACGGACAGATAGCTAGTCAGTCACTCAAATAAACAGTCATCCATACAGATACTCATCACATACAGACGCACAAACAGTCAATCAGTCAGTCAATCAGTCGCTCAAACAAATAGTCACGTATACAGATAATCATCACATACGGACAGACAGTCAGTTAGTCAATCCATCACCTAAATAGACGGTCACCCATACAGCTAGTCATCACACACGAACAGAAAGTCAGTTAGTCAGTCACGCAGATAGCCGCCCATACAGATACTCATCACATACGGACAGACAGTCAGATAGTCAGTCACTCAAATAGATAATCACCCATACAGATACTCATCACATACGGACATACAGACACTCAATCAGTCCGTCAATCAGTCACGCAAACAGATACTCACCGATACAGATAATCATCATATACGGACGGGCACACCGTCACACAGTCAGTCACTCAGATAGATACTCACCCATACAGATAATCATCACCTACGGACAGACAATCAGTTAGTCAGTCACTCATACAGACAGTCACCCATACAGATAGTCACGAAATAAGGACAGACGGAGAGGCAGTCACTCAGTCAGTCATGCAGATAGATAGTCACGTATACAGATAATCATCACATACGGGCAGACAGTCAGTCAGTCACTCAGATAGATAGTCGCCCACACAGATACTCATCACGTATGGCCCACCAGGCAGTTAGTCAGTCAATCAGATAGACAGCCACCCACATAGATAATCATCACATTCGGACAGACAGTCAGTCAGTCACTCAGTTAGATACCCACCCCTACCGACAATCTTCACATACGGTCAGGCAGACAGTCAGTCAGTCAGTCACTCAGATAGATAGTCGCCCACACAGATACTCATCACGTATGGCCCACCAGGCAGTCAGTCAATCAGATAGACAGCCACCCATCCCAATAATCATCACATACGGACAGACAGTCAGTTAGTCACTCAGATAGATACCCACCCCTACCGACAATCTTCACATACGGACAGGCAGACAGTCACCCAGTCAGTCACTCAGATAGATAGTCGCCCACACAGATACTCATCACATACGGACACACGAACAGTCAATCAGTCAGTCAGTCAGTCACTCAAATAAATAGTCACCCATGCAGATAATCATCACATACGGACAGACAGTCAGTCAGTCACTCAGATAGATACCCACCCCTACAGATAATCACCACATACGGACAGACAGACTGTCAGACGGTCAGTCAGGCACTCGGGTAGATAGTCACCCATACAGATACTCATCGCATACCGACGGACAGTCATTTAGTCACTCAAGTAGATAGTCACGCATACAGATACTCCTCACATACGGACAGACAGGCAAGCAGGCAGTCTCTCAATTACATCGTCACCCATGCAGGTAGTCGTACCATACAGGTAGGGAGAGAGACAGATAGTCAGTGAGTCAGTCAAACATATAGTCACTAATACAGATGCTCTTCCCATAGAGACAGACACACGGATGCTAACTCGCGGCGGCTTCTCGTTCATACCACTTTTTTCACTAGAAATGCTAAGTCACAGCGACGTGGGCTTTCTCCTTATCTCAGATTAAAACATGGTTATTTTTTTACTTCAAATATTCGTTATCGTCTATGACACGAATTTCAGTAATAAGTCGATTTATATTGAGTAACTTATTTCTTTTTTGTTTCATATCGCAGTTTTTCAACGTTGTACAGGCACTCCTGGCCAAATTTACAATTTCGATAAGTTTGGCGCTTCGCTACCTCAGCTTGGCCTTCGAGGAATAGCATATAGCTTCTTTTAGCACCAAACTATGGGTTGCAAAGTGTTCAAAAATATATTTACGGCGGACAATTGAGTTTACTCTTGGACTTCAACGAATTCGAATGTGCAATTAACACCAGCATCAGATCTTGCAAATGGAGCTTTAGACGGTGTCGGCAGCGAACGAGAAACTTCGAATCCATATGCACTGCAAGAAGTACCTCGTTGGCATATGCCATTAATGCCCTCAAACACAGTAACACCAGCTATTAGTTCTGCTTCACCTTTCGCTGAAAAGCGACAAGATTCTTTGACAGATCGTGAACTAACAAATCTTGAATCGCACCAGTTAATATGGTTAGACAGCAGTATGGATACGAAGGAGTCACAAATTACACTGCACAATCTGCGAAAAGTCGTAGATTATACTAAACTGTTCGATAATGTTGAAGAATGTGAACGGTATATTCTTGAGAAAAAAGATACGATCACATTCTTAGTTACATCAGGAGCACTAGGACAGAATTTAATTCCAAGAATAAATGATCTTGGAAATATTCGACAGATCTTCGTTTACTGTCGCAATAAAGACTTTCACCAACAATGGGCTGAGTTAAACATTAATTTCAAGGTTAGTTTTGAAGTAGTGTTCAGTATTAAGCAGTGCATACTGTCCATCATTCTCGTTCAACTTTTTGAAGACGAATTTCAACTTCCGTTATGATTTTGAAGATACTGCACAAGTTTGCATCACTCGCGCTTAAAACTTAGCTCGTAACAGTTCTCGGTACCTCATCATCATCATTCGCCTGCGAACAATCTGAGTTTTCAGGCGACAATTATTGTTTTCGGAGTCATTTGAAAACGCAATTCGGATGACTAGTCCTGAAACGCTTTACCAGAGCCCGTCTTAGCCGACCAAGAGGTTTCCATTCGGCACTACGAAGAATTCAAGGGTTGGATTTTGCCGAACTGTCGGTACCTACAGGTCTTTTAATTGCTATAACTACTTTTGGAACTGTCAAAGGACATCATAAAGATTTCACACTTTTTAGAAAATATACTTTTATTGCATTTTTAAGACTATCGAAGAATTGATTTCTTCGGCTTCAGTTATAGTGAATCTGGTATAATATCAGTATGTCTGAGGAGTCAGAATTACTATGATTCAAACGTAGATTAATTTAGAATTCTTGCAGTTTTCAAGTTCCACAGATAGTTATAGTACTAAGAGAGGTTTTATAAGCCCATCGAGAAAGCCATAACATGGTCAAAACTGACCCCCACTTTTATACGTTATTTTTCATCGTAAATTATTTTCTAAAGGAAAAGTCCTAGGAAAAGAATTTTTTCACCATCGTATTGAGCATGAATCGGAATATATTCGACACTCCTCAAATCACAAAAAGCTCACTTTCGATTTCTCGCTAAAAGTCCGCGTATATGTCCGCTGTGCTCCGGTCAAGATCGGACATTTTGAGCAAAGCTTCATTTTCTTCTGCGATTCTCAAACAAAGTTATCCCGAAGGTTAATTCAAGAGACAAATATGTAGAAAATCAAATTCTCTACAATTTTTGCGCTAGCAGCAATTCTGTAGATGCCACACTTTCAAAGAAAAACGAAAAGTTTTCTTTCTTGGCATAAAGAAACAGTCGCGCAAACTTGTCCCAAGAGCCGAAAATGTGGAGAATCCAGTTTTGACTATTTTTGATTCGTGCCGCACCATCGGAATATCCTATCTTCATTGTCAAAAATGCACAAGAACAAAAAACAGGGTATTTCCCGAATAAAGATTTGCAGGAAAGGAAAGGAAGAGAAAGTTTTCCGATGTTGCGGTAAGAATCAGAAATATTCAAAATTGAATTCTCATTCAAAATTTTGGCTCTTGAGACGAGAGCATGTGACCGTTTCTTCATGTCGACAAATACAATCTAGCGTTTCAGTCATAAAGGGCGAAGAATTGTAGAGAATAGAATTTGATTCTCTACATATTTGACTCTAGGATCAACCTTCGAGAATGCTTTTCTTAAGAGTTGCAAGGAACATCGAGATTTCTTCAAAAAAGTCCGATCAAGAGCGGAGCCGATTATGATCGGGGTCGATCTTGATCGAACCGATTTTCGATCATAAGATCGTGATCGTAGCATCCCTATATATGTGACATCATTCGATTCATGCATCAAACTCAGGTTATGAAAAAATTTTCAGCCTGTTTGGACGTAATCTAACCCAGTTATGATTGTTCAAAGTGAAGAGTATCGAAAAATGAAATGAGAGGTCGCCAGCATTTTTCGAATTACTCCGCCATTTATCGTCCGTCCTGATCGAGCAACCGCTCATTCGAAAGCTCAAGAAAAACTAAACAAAACCACATCGTTTTTAATGTTTACATAGCAAGCTTTCAAAAAATTGCCAGTTTAACCAGCCACAGTTTTCAACCGACAGGACGTTTTCACAGATCAAAGACAGTTGCGGACATTATCACTACTTGCATCTTGTAGTGAATTCAATCCTCTCCAAATCCCACGAAAAACTTTACAAAAAAGGTTCAAGATCTGGGTGGAAGGAGCGGGGCGCATTTGAGCGAGAATCGGCCCACTCAAAAAAAATTGATTAGAAAAACAGGCTGAAAATTTTTTCATAACCTGAGTTCGATGCATAGAATAGAATGATGTCACATATATAGGGATGCCACGATCACGATCTTATGATCGAAAATCGGTTCGATCAAGATCGACCCCGATCATAATCGGCTCCGCTCTTGATCGGGATCGATTTTTCATGACTAGTTTCTACTTTGTTTCTCAAGTTTAGGAATTGGAAATCCCGTGGAAAAAAGTGGAAAATATCCTAAGCATGAAATTTCATAAGAAATAAGCTAGCCGCACTTGCTGAAGAAGCGCCCGCTTCTCCATTGACTGCAGCTAGCTAAAAGAGTAAAATTTAGCGGATGCAGCTAGCTGCAACGGGACAAACCTGCTAACCCGCTTCAATACTAGCTGCAGCGGGTAAGAAATATTACCGCTATAAAACAGTGTACAACTAGCTGCATCTAGAGATTTATTGGGCGTTACAGCTAGTCAAACCCTTATGTATAATGTGTTCAGTATCCACTGCGCAACTAGCTGCAGCGCTCAATTTAGCGGCCGCTTCAACTAGGGCATTTTTCTTAATGTGTATATTATAAGAGCTAGCTGAAATGACCGCTAAGCAGACCGATGTAGCTAGTCAGCGTGGATGCTAGATTGTAATTAGCGTTAAAACGGGTGTTGCAGCTAGCTCTGTCGAGTTTCATTTTAAACAGCCTGATGCTACGGGCGCTACAGCGGCCGTTGTAGCTAGCATATGTTTCTGTTTGAAACTACTAAGAAAAGTAGCTAGCTGCAACGGGTTATTTACCGTATTAAGCTTTCATCGACAACTTATAACTAGCTGCAGCAGGTATCTAACCGGCCGCTATAGTGCCCGCTCCATGGTGTGTACGTTTATGCAGCTAGCTGCAACGAGTATGGAAACTAGATTAGCTAGCTGCAGCGCCCGCTGACCCGCTTCAATATTTTTACATTCTTTTATAGCTAGTTGTAGTGGGCGTTACTAGCTGATTTTTCCATGCTTGGGTAGCCTGTTTTCTGTAAAAAATCTTGCGCTCTACAAGATGCCGCATACTACTATGCGTTTCAAAAAGCAGTGCCAGTGATCGTGTTTTTAATGCCTTTTGATAGGAACGAGATAAAGACCTGCGGTTTTCACTGCTGGATGGAGGAGACCTCGATGCATCTTATGGCAAGCGAAACTTGGTTTTAAAAGAATTTTCATGCCGATTTTTAGAGGACCTCTAGAAATGCTGGCCGTATCTCCGAATCTCGACATACAAATATCGTTTTTTTTTCCGTTGATAGTTAAAAAAAATCGACTTTTCGAAAGTTTGCGTTTGCTGAATTCCGCTTGAGTCGGTCTGAAGACTGTACAGAGTTCTCTAAGGTCTTCGGACGAAGAAAGGTGCCTTGCCGGAGAATGCTTATAGCTCCTGGACACCAAGAGCTAGAGAGCTACGTTTTCTCGAGAATTGTAGGTCTCAGTCCACTCTGTTTACCCACGTAAAAAAATCAGGTATTTATGTGTCCAGATTCGGAGATATGGCCCGGTATTCCAAAGGCCCTCTGGAAAACCAGCATCGGAATTTTCTTAAAAACCAAGTTCCGCCAGCAATATGTGGTAAGGTCTCCTCTATCGTACACTGAAAACGGCAGGACCCTACGACCTTCCTACCAAACAAAAAAAGGCCACGGGCACTGCTTTTTGGAACGGATAATACTCGCCTGTTGGTCTTAGAATGGCTTAATAAATTGAAAATATAGAAAAAATCTTAGGTCGGAAAAAGTGAAATTATTCCGAAAACGCAATTTCCCCCTTGATAATCCAACTCCACAAATTTCAAAAGTAGTAGATATTCTTCACTTTTTAAGGTTTCTCATATAAGGCGTTGTTCAAAAAGAACGGGTAAAGTATGGGGAAGTTACAAGCCTTTAGGGCTGGGGAACTTAAATTAGCTCTTTTCAAGGTTTTCAGTGGTGCTCCACTGTCTTCGAGAATACAACACAAGATGAATTCCACCTTCTAAAAGTTGAACGAAAACGAATGGACAATATTCTTTCTTAAATTAACCATTCCTATTCGGTTTTAACAACAGATTTTTTCGGTGTACTGGTTTCACAGGTTAAACGAGTTTACACGGAACTGCACGAGTTGATACATGATTTAAATGAAAGCGTAAAGTACTATTTGAAGCGGGAAAAAGATGGACTATTCAGTGAAATTATAAGAAAAGAGAATACAACCGGACGAACTCACTCATCGTGGATAAGTTTCATTGACCTTTTGTGTCATTTACCATATCCAGAAGATGCCCGTTTTAAACTAATAAATTCATTAAAAGAATATTATAAAGGAAAGGATACGGAATTGAAAATTCTTGCGGAATTTCTGAACTATACACCGGATCAGGCAATTCGATGGTATACTCGTCCGACATTTCTCTTTCAACTTTTGAATCGTGCATTAAGACAACAGGATACGACGGTTATGTTTTTATTTGGATTTTTTATCCAGGATATATACCGACAGTTAAAAGCGGAACATGAAAAATTTAAGCTAGCCCATCTAGAAAAAAATCCAATCTTCACAGTGTTTCGTGGCCAATTTATATCAATGGCTGAAATTCCATCAATAGTGACAAGGCCGGATAACCCGCTGTATGATTTTCTTAACTATTGCATAGTGAATAATAGTTTCCTGTCAACGACTCTCGATTCTGCTTTGGCACGTATTCTTACAAATCCATCCCGAAGACCTTCTATTGATCCTGAAAACGTTATCTTTGAAATTACCGTTGACACTTGTTTAAACACTCGTCCCTTTGCAGACATTTCGCATCTAAGTTATATCCGTGACGAAAGAGAAATTTTATTTATGATCGGCACAGTGTTTATAGCAGAAACTGGAACTGAGTATTATGATGAAAATGAAAAAATCTGGCACATAAAACTAAGCTTAACCTCTGAAAAGATTTCGGAAGATGATAGAAATTTTAACGCTGAAACACAGAGAGAGACGTTGAAAATCGGTGTTACTGCAATTACTCAGCGCCTGGCCTACGCAAATATAGAAAATATAGACATAGTTTATAACGAATTGATAAATCTATATCCATCAGAAAATGCTTGGATCTTAGCGTGTAAATATCATTGCTATGGCCTTCATCAGAGATTCAAGCTGAACAATTTTACTGCGGCCTTGTCAAACTTTGAGAAAGCATTGGAGAAATGGTACACTTTTCTTGATGACGTTAAATTAAATTGCTTTTTTGACATTGGGCACCTCCGCAAAGCCATCGGCAGTTGTTACCATGATAAAAGCTATGAAAAGTATGATCCAGATACAGCAATGAGGTACCTTGACCAAGCAATCGATTATTATAAACTTGCCCTCGAAAGAGCAACCAGGGATGAGGAACAAATAAAGATATTTTATGCGCTGGAAAAAATTTTCGAATTGGCCGGGCAGGTTAATTGTGATAAAAATGCAAAAAACTGCTATTTTTCAATGGAATGCAAATATATTGAACTAGGTATTGAAAAACGACTACAATACTATTCCCCAAATGACAAGCATCTGCGTGATGGCATCAACACATTATGTTTTTACTATGGAAAAAAATTGGAGGACGAAGTGCTTTTAGCTAAACATTGTGAAACGGTGCTTCGGGCTCTTTTACAACATCCTAATCCATACTTTAATACGATTATTTATGTCACTGACAAATTGCTTGAAATATATTCGCATGTGCCAAGCAAAGACACAGAATTAAAACTTAAGTATCAACTGATACAACATCAATACAAATTGAGGGAATATGAACCAAAATCATGGGATAACGTAGTAAAGACTAATGTGAAGAAGACTTACGTAGCTAGAAATCACACAGATTTATTTTATACATATGAATCATTATTTAATTACGATGAAGCATTGAGACATTCCGAAAAAGCATTAGAGATTTATCTGTCGCAGTCTCTCCAAGTGATGAACAACCTTTACTCGACTTTTGAACTGTTTAAGACTGTTGTAGATATGTATAACGAAAGACTCGACTATGATTCGACCTTGAAATATTTGTTGATAAAGATTGAATATATATTGAGCTGGCATTCGTCAATCTCTATCGACCGAGAAATAACAAATGAGACTCAGAAGGATTTGCTAGCACGAAGTTACATCGAACTGGCAAGATGTTATTTATCTCTACATCGCTACGATGAAGCGGTAGCCAGCTACGAAACGGTACTAGAGATTTGTCAACAACAACGATGTCTTGACTTCACTTTGATTGACTATGTGACTTTAGAATTAACGTCTATTCAGTTCGAAAATAAACATGATTATCAATTAGCACTGAAATATCAGCTGCTTTTGCATGAGTATACGCACGAACTATTAAAATGTGCCCTAGACCACGTCTGTGAAAATGATGACCTTAACCGTGAACTCATCGAAGTAGCCAAAAGTCATGAAAGATTAGCCAACATCTACATAAGATTGAAACAATATAAAACAGCTTATGAACACTTCTTATCAGCAGTTGAAACATACCAGCACACCACATATTCATATTTAATCGGAGGCATTCAACAGCGAATAGAAACACTGCAGTTAGCTATATCATCATCCGATTACTCTTCTGTGCTTTTACATATGTCCGTGGACTACATGAGTGAACTACGTAAAGCACGTAATATACTTTTTGACATGGAAAATACTACGGCTATGCAATCCACGTTCCGTTCAGGATTGTGTCAGCCAGAATTAACCGAGGACGAGATGGCTAAGTGCTTAATCAACTGGGTCAATTCTCCAGACTGATGAATGAAGGATCCTAGATCTTGTACACATATTTCTGTTTCACAAGTGATTGAACAAAGGACTGATAAAAAAAGGCAAATAACCTGTAAAAAAGATTCAAAACATGTTGCGACTTTTTTCTGTTTTTTTGTTGAAAAGCGCCATGCAACCTGAGTGCGCTTCTCCCTTCTGCATTGTGGAAAAGCGAATCCTACGCTTTTCGAATGTCTCCTCAAAAGCATCAGAGGTAATTGGAATGAATTGTTCTCATTCAGACCTGAAGGTTCAGCGATAGAAAGTGGTCTCGCTACCATCCATTTCAAAACACAATGATCTCTGATATTTTTTAAAATATTTTTGAAAGGAAGGAGACTGAGACGTGCGGTTTTCGCCGGCATTCGAAAGGAGGTGCACACAGGCCTATAAAACAAGAAAAATTTCATGCAGGGATAACTATGATAAACCACATCTGGCATTCCAGGAATAGACCGCCACATAGTCTTACACAGTCGGATTTTGAATCCAGAGTAGCGCATTTCCAAGCATGAAAAATGTATCGGGTATCGCCCGATGCAGCTAGATATACTAGATACAAAACGCGATACATCTGGATGCATGAAAAAGAGAAAAAGTTGAATCGGGTTATCGGCCGATACACCGAGATGCAGCCGATTTATTTCTAGATGTATATAGTTATGTATCTGGTAGCGATATTAACCCGATTCATCGGGCAATATATCGGGAGATGAATCTAATTGTGTATCGGCTGCAGATCAGACACGCGTACATCGTACAATGTGTTGGGCGATGCATCGTGGGATATATCGATCGATTCATCTACTTGAACACCGTTTTAGGTCAATTCCATTCCATCCTATCGTTCAACTCGGACGATGCATCTAGTGTAAGGCGATTTCCAACTAGATGCAACTAGTGAGAAATCGCCTTGTTCTAAATGAGGAGAAACAGTAGTTATCATTTTGCACCGTGAAGCTCATATTGTACAAAAGTGAGCGTAGCACATAAAATTGAGGAAATTCAATTTGCTAAATTTCATCTTCTAGGCTCAAGTTTGGGAAACATCTTCACAGTGAAATCCCGGAAAATCACTTTTTTTAAGCTAATTTTCAGTTTTTTTACGAACAAAGTACTTCTCAAGCTTGAGTTTGCAACAGGATGTGTAGCAAATTTAGTTTTCTAATTTTATCTGCTAGGTTCAGCTTTGTACAACTAGATCTTCAAGACAAAAAACACAAAAAGCATTTTCTAGTCGGAAGACCGGTTCTAGAGACCCGACACCAGCAGAAAGATATTAGGAAATTAAATTTCCAACATTTCATCTTCCAGACTCAAGTCTAATAAATGCTTAAGAAATTTGCTGGGGTCAAACTCGATGTATCTAGCTAACCCGATATTTTTTACTCTTTTATCTAGATACTTTTGCTGGAGAATCGGGGGATACTCCAATCTAGATACGAGTGTATCTAGATTTTTTCTCTTAGGTTTTCGTGCTTGGGTTCGATAGACCGAAAGCTGTTCGCAAATCAGACCAGTCTCAGCTCTCTACCTCATCCAGTTTTAGAGAAGTGTGTAAACTCGCCTTTGGACACTCGCCACGTCAGAAGCTGGCCAATCGGAAATTCGATTTTGCAAACTCGCTGAAAATTTTATGGGGCAGGAAATTCGAGGAAAAAAATTGCCGATATTATCAATCCATGCTTCTGTAATAAAATCCGACTGACAAATTTGATGATAAGTCAAATGAAATGAAATAAATTTTTCATAGTCAATTGATATATTGATACATCGGCAAATAAGTGTTTCTGAGTAATGTTGATTCAGTTTGATACAGGCGGATAATATTAGTTGTTGAACTGCAACAGTTTTTGTTACAGAAGTCAATGATGTAAATAAAATACAAGTTAATATAGATATTAGAAGAATGAAAATACGTGTTGAATATTTCTCATTGATTAAATCATTTTCTTCTTTCGTTTCTGGATCCTTAAATAGATTTAAATTTTGAATTGCTTGTTTAATTTTGCTCACTAGAATGGTAAAAGAAGATAGAAATCGAAATCTAATTTGTACTTTTCATCAGAAAAAAATCAACGAACGAAGTGTAGACTCTAAATAATTTGACATAGCCTAAAAACGGTATGCATTTACATTAGCAGTTTATAGGTCATGAAAACAACAAAAGTTTGAAAACAGTTAGTGATTGACTAAAACCCAACAGTCGGTAACGTTCTCATACTCTAAGTTCGGAAGAAGGTACACTCTTAAAAATAATGCGTCTTATATGATGTGTCTATTTCAAAAATAGGTCTTATAAGTGTCTTGCAGGAAAATGAGTCTTAATGTGTCTACAATAAAAAGAAATTGAAGACACTTTTGAGACTCAATGTAGACACTTCCAGCAGTAAGATACTTCACAGCAAAAATTTTATGAAGAAAAGAAAATTGATCTTTTCTGTATTACAGACCCAAGGCCAGCGCGAAGCATTGTACAGGAGGAAAATCGTGCTCTGTTGATTGATTGATTGATTTATATTGACATGCCGAATCCGCGTTCGCTGCGAACTAAAATATAAACGAGTTCGCGGCCAATTATTTCCAGTCCTCATTCGTCAATTTTCAATTCACAATTCGCATAAAAGAAGAAAATGACTTTATTCTTATTTACTATTGTCAGCATTAGGTGAAGATAGGAATTTAGAAATGAGGATCACTTTACGCATGCAGGAATGAAGGAATCATAGTATTGAGAAAGCAAAGAGTGATTGATTGAGAAATGAAGGAATCAAGAAATCATGGGATTGAGAAAGTAAGGAGTGATAGATTGAGAGATGAAGGAATGAAGATAGTGGCGGAACCACCGATGGAGCTGAGCTCCCCCTAGAAACCTTCCAGCGCCCCCTAGGAAATTTTAGCTCCATTTGGACTGTTAGGCTTTTTTCATTAAAGAGTTGCAATAGTACTGTAGGCAGGTTTCGGACAATGAATATGGAGCACAGCTCCTCCTAGACCGAAATCCTGGCTCCGCCACTAAATGAAGGAATCATGGTAATGCTAAAACAAAGAGTGATAGATTAGGAGATGCAGGAATTCAGGTATTAAAAAGATAAAGATTGTAGGCATGCACACTGTAAAAAATATAGTGTGTTACTGGGTGTGTAAATCATCTAAACAGCCGCTCAGCATCGAAAAGTATGCACTTTTTCTAGACGGTCAATCTCAGTGTGTAGAAGCTAGGTGTGTTAAAAAAAATTCTTATATTGCTATTTTTCTGGCGAACTACTACATCAAACAAAAACCATGATTTTAGAATCGTGATCACCGTTCTCGAAAGTATATATGCTGTCACTCCTAGCCAAAACAGATAAGAAAAACAAGCGAAAGAAAAACTATTTTATTGGAATGTCCGATCACCGTCGCGATAGAGTTATTTTGTAGACAATCTTTGGTTGTATATAATATGCTTTAAAAAGTTTTCGAACGACATAGGTTTTTTAAGTGACACATTGTAAAAAGAGTGGTTTTTCTACTTTTAAGCATAAAAAGTAATTTTTGAAAACCTTGCCAGCGATTGCACGATAACAAAGAATTTCTGAGAAAAATTTCCGCTGACGAAGTTGTAGCTGATGTCATTCTGCATGGAAAAACAATGTGACAATAATTGCTGGGGGTTTCGGAAGCCCTTGTTGCAAGGATATGCACCCCAAAACCTTGCCACGGATTCTGACTACGCAAAGCATACCTCATAAAAGCTGTTGCAACAAAAGTTGTTCCCTATGAAATTCTACGTGGAATAAGCTGAACAGTTTTTTTTTCTAATGACAAAAACTTTAAAAAATTATTCATTAAAAAGTTTTAAAATTAAAAACTGTTTAATTTTCATTCAACTTCTGTTTTTCCAAAAAAATGAGCATAGGCACTTCTGAAAGAAAACATTTCCTACCAACAATGTAAGAGAACATTGGCACAATTTCCAATGAGATTAATGATAACCAATGGATATGTAACGCCGGTATTTGAATTATATTTTTGTAAAATCATTGATAA